TTCTACAATGAGTAAACCGAGCTGAGTGCCTAACAGCATGACTTTTCAGCAAATTTGATAAAGATAGCACAAACACCTCTGTGAATGCTCTTGTTTCTTTCCATTTAAGGATGCTTAGCTCATTTTAGCTTAAATCAATCTCTCATCAAAACAGAACACGCCAAAGCAAGCCTGGTTTAAATTATAACAAATATCCACCTGGACCAACACTTGCTGCACTAAATTGTAATCTGCCTGTGCATTCTTTTTGCTTAAGCATGGCCTTAGGCACACATGGCAATAAGCAGGACCACAAAGGGTAGCTTGCTGTCCAGCTATACCAACCTGTTCTAAACACCAATCAGTCAAAAGTTTAGCAAAGCCTGGGGGTGTTTCTCTCCTCCTACCTCATCTAGAAGTTGGAGAAGTTTGTTCCGAATTTCTTGGGCATTTTCCCCCAGAGGATCCTTGAGGAGCTGCCGGAATTTCTCAATCACTTGGTAGAAGGCGTTCTTCCACAGCAGCTGGTCCACATTCTGGGTATCAGAGAACTCGATATCCATCAAAATGCACCGCTTGTACAGCTGCAGCATCTCCACCCTAGAGTGAGACACGATCAGTGGTCAACACAGCAGCCTGGCAGAGCAGGCAGGGAGCATGTGCTGAACCACCTGCTGCCTCTCATCCTGCAGGCATGAGATGTCAGCAGTTGGCTTGGCTCACACGCTATGGCAAATGGAGGCTTCCAAACATGCCCTAGAAAGAGATGGAAGTTCTTGTAACCAAACACCCCTTCTGCTCCAGCAGAGCAAATTGAAAGGACCATCTCTCTTTCTGCACGTGTAAAAATGGATTAGGACTCACCAAAGAGCAAAGAGGCTCTGCTAAAGCTCTGCCTCTGGGAAGAGCAAGACCTAATTATCTCCTGAAAGTAATACAGAAAACAGCATACACTGACAGGCTTCTTCTGCTTCCAACCACAAAGCCTAGCTACTAAGGGCCAGGAACAAGCACACAAAGCACCCAAGAGCAAGAGATCTTGCCATTACAGTGACCTGCGTATCACTTTGTGCAGCCAAAATGCATGCTGGAATAACAAACCACGTTCCCCTCACCAACTAACAAGAGCTCAGCCCAGACACTGGAACAGAACTCCCACACACAATTTGATGAAATGGATACACGCTGCTGCAGGGCAGGGACCAACTGAACCTGTGCTCTGGGGAAGGGCAGCCCTCACCAGCCACGGCAGCACAGCCTCTCTCATCCTAACCTGAAACCTCCAGTGCTGTTACCAGTGCACACATATCCCCTCTCTGTGGTCTGTGCTGCGAGTCCCTCAAATGCAGAACAAGCCCTGAAAAGAGCTCAGCTGCCAGATTTACTGCCAGTCAGCTCTGAAATAAGCCTCCAGAGAAGCCCCAAAGACCACACGTAAATGTGGTAGGTGCCAAGTAGAAACTTGCTCCAGTCATGTTAACTGCCCTCCAGAGTGCCAGATTCACTTTCCTCTTGCTAGGCTGCCCTCACCAGGCCATCCCCAGTGGACTGCCATATGTCACAGGGCTGAACAGTGTCAACAACAAAACTAGTGGCACTTAGAAAGTGCTGTCACTGCCACACAGCACCAGGAATCCACATAACACTTTGCAAGCACAAGCTGAGAGCTGCCGTACTGAAGCCAGCAATGCAAATCAGAAATCAAAGGCTGGTAATAAAGCAAAAGTACACCAGCAAATACCAAAAGCACACGAGAGCCCTGGAGCCAAGGGAGCCCAGCTCTAGCAAGAAGAACCCAAGAACTGCAGCAGGTGCTTGTCCTGCTCCCCTATGTGCCTTCAGCACAGGCACAACCATGAGGAGCCACAATTTAACCCTCAGCCTAAGCTAAAGAGATAATTGCTCACAGTTTCTTTCTGATATCCAGACACCCCTGGCACATGATTAACACCCCCCAGCACATCATAAGATAGTGAACTATAGCCCCAATCCCTCAGATATCAATGCCCCCCATCCCCCAGATCCCCAGTGAGAAAACATCATGGACAACAGCTCTGTTAGGAATTTACTCTTGAAATGACTCAGCCACAAACCTCAGCTGGGCCATCTTCTCCAGCCCCTCTGGGCTGATGCGATCTCTGGAAAGCAGATTGCTGAGCTGCTGCTCCTGGTTCCCAGCCTCACGGAGGAGTTTGCTGAGCTCCTGCTGCTGCATGTTCCGCATCTGCTGCTCCATCTCAGGACTCAGAGGTGCTGGGGTGAGCGGGCCGCACATGTACTGCCCTGTCTGGCCAGGGTACCCGGGGTAAAAGGCTCCTGGGTACACACCATTGCTTGGACCCATTGGATACTGCAGGGAGTACCCGCTGTAAGGATACTGAGGAGCTTGGCCGGCAGCCCGAGGGTAATAGTAGGGGTTGTCAGAGTTTTGGAACTTATAATAGGACGTCTGGGCCTGGCGGGCTTCCCCCCAGGAGGTGGGACTCACTTCATCATCCGTGTCTAGGAAGTGAAGCTGTGGGGTTTGGCTTTTCAGGGCGGGTTTTTGGTCCGGGTTGTTGGGGTCCCACAACCTGCGAGCGGTGCCACCTCGGCCCCGGCTTCGGGAGCCCTTACTGCCAGCACCGCCCAGCAGCAGCCGAGGCCCAGGGTGACTGGGTTCAGGGGAGCCCACAGAGCAGGCAGACAGGTCTGTGTTGGCAGGCAGGAACAGAATCCCACGGCCCCTCCCCTGGGGCTCTCTGCTCTGGCTCCTCGCCTCCAGAGTCTCCGAGTCATTGCAACCAGAAAAAGCCTTCAGGGGCTTTTTTTTATCTGTGTCTGCTAGAACGACATCCCTGTTCATAGTCTTGCTGTCAAAAGTGACTCGGAAGTGTCCCTTGACTTCCCTGCCGTTGCTGCTCCACTCACTCTCACTCCTAGAAGCTCGACTCTGCTCTGAACGCTTTTTCCTGTCTGAAATCCTGTTAGAGACATACGCTTCTGCCTCATCAATTCTGTCATCATCCAAGGAGTCAGTGGAGGATGCAGAGAGCTGCTTCCTAGGACGTATTCTAGCACGCTCCTGCCGTCTCTCCATCCCATCCACCAGCGGGGCTCCATCTACACTGTTGTTGCTTCCAGCTGAGCTCGTGCTGCACGTGCGGTATCGGCTCCGCCGCTTGTCAGAGCGGGAATACCGCTTGGTAGCGCCCAGCTTCCCCTGCATCACTTCATCGTGTGCCCTCCTCACCCGGTCACTTCGCTCTAGTCGTCTTCCTTTATCCGTCCTAGATGATTTCACTCCGTCTCCTGCCTGGTTTCCCTCTCTGTCCTCTTTGTTTGACTTGGTTTTCTTGTTGTTATCTTCTGCAGAACCTTTCTCGGCCTCTTCACCACCTTCAACTCTCAGCTGTTCCACTTTAGAGGTCATTTCCTCAGTAGCCAACCGTAGGGCGACTTCTTTAGCAACTAATTGCAGGCGCTTCCCTGGCTGATAGATCTGCTGGTCCGGTTTCTTGATTCTCCTCGTGGTCTTGGCACAACACTCATCCACAGCACGCGGCGTGCACGAGTTCTCCTGGCTCTGAAGATCACCTTTAACCTCTGCCTCGTCGTTTCCCAGTGAAGGACCATTCTGGTTGTGGCTGTCACCATGCTGAAGTTCTCCATGACTGGAGGCCCTTCTCCTGAAGGACCCTCCTCCTGAAGGGCCATTCTCCCCCTTGCCTTCCTCAGCTCCGCTCCTCTCCTCAGAGGCCTCGTGCTTTGGTGGCACAAGTTTGCTCTTCAATCGGGAGAGGCCAGGCTTGTAAATCTCCAGATCTGGGCGCCTGTTGTCCTTGCGATGCCGTGGCTCCTTCACCTCTTTCATGTTTTCTAGGAAAAAAATAGAGAAAAACATAGGAATGTTAAGGCTGGAGAATATCTCTGACATCATCAAATCCAACCATTGGCCCACCCCCACCACACCCACTGAAGAAACCACATCCCCAAGAGCCACAACTCCATGGCTCTGGAACACCTCCAGGGTGGTGACTTCACTACCTGTGTCAATACATCACTGCTCTTTCTGAGAAGAAATTGTTCCCCATATCCAAAGTGAAAGAGAGTTATTCCCATCACAAAGCACACGAGGATGAGAAAAGCTCACAACAAATATTCAAGGAAAAACATTATCTGAAGGCAAAGTATTAAAAACACCCTGAAAGCTGCTTCAAAAGAACGCACGTGAAACGCTCTGTTGAGGCTCACAGGAAATCAACGAGTGAGAGCAGGAAATGAAGCAGCCTGACAAAGCTGACCAAATCCTGAACCCGACTCGCTTACAAAACATCCCACAGCAGGTTTTGCCCCGAAGAACCACCGAGTTAACAGACAGACAAAGCACAGCGCCCGGCCCCGATCTGCTCTGTGCCACAAAGCAAAGCACAGCCAGGGGCTCCTGGAGAAGCTCAGCACAGCAGGACCCCCCAACCCCAGGCACAGCCCCACCGCTCTGCTCTCAGGGCGGCATTCCCCCCTCCGTGCTTACAACCCACAGCATATTCCTCCCTCTCCCCATAACCACATCGTCACAAAACGCCACACAGAACGCAGCGCACAGCCTCGACACAGCACAGCCCGGGCACAATACGTTTCGCCCTCAGTGCCCACTCCGTGCCCGCTCCCCCCGCGCCGCCGTTGTTGAACCCCCGCTTTCCCTCACCGCAGCAACAACGGCGGCCCCGGGCCCAGCACACACCCACAGAGCAGGCACGGCCAAGGCGAGGCGAGGCGAGACAAAAAGGCCGAACGGCGGCACCCCGCCGCCTCCTCCTCCCTCTGCCCGCCTCACCTGCTCCTCCTGCCGCCCCGGCGCGGGCCTGCGCGGCTACCATGTCCCGCAGCTCTGCGGCCGAGACGCGGACGCGCTCCAGCCCCTCCGCCATCTTGTTTCGTGCCGGGGAGGGGACGGCGGCCGCGCGGGGCCAAACTTTCTCGCGCGGAGCCCGGCGACTGACCGCGCGCATGCGCACGGCGCGGTCGGGAGCGGCGCGGCCATGGGCTCGGTGCGGGCGGCCGACGTGGAGTCGGCGATGAAGCGGCTGGGGGGCCGCGTGCGGCGCACGCCCGTGCTGACTTGCGGGTCCCTGCAGCGGCTGGCCGGCCGCAAGCTGCTCTTCAAGTGCGAGCTCTTCCAGCGCACCGGCTCCTTTAAGGTGTGACGGGACGGTGGTGTGACGGGACGGTGCCGTGCCGGGGCGCCGGGGGCGGGGAGCGGATCCCAGCGGCGCGTCTCGTTGCAGATCCGCGGGGCGCTGAACGCGGTCAGGATCCTCGTGGAGGACGCGGAGAAGGCAGGGCGGGAGCGGCCCCGCGCCGTAGTGACACACAGCAGCGGGAACCACGGGCAGGCGCTCGCCCGTGCGGCCCGGGATGAAGGTAACGCGTGGGGGAAAAGGTCAACGCGCAGAGCGTGAGATATAAGGCGTATCCCTGTGCGGCAGACAGCAGCACACCTCAGCTCTGCTCCACTAACAGCCCCAGCCCTGCGGAGCAGCAGGAGGGCTCTCCCTTCTCCGGTCACGGCCCAGCTCCATTCCCCTTTTGCAGCATGCAAATTCCCTCCCGCAACTGTTCCAACAGGCATTCCTGCCTACGTCGTGGTGCCCCGCACAGCCCCGCGCTGTAAGCAAGCTGCCATCCGTGCCTATGGGGCCACGCTCGTGCCGTGCGAGCCCAGCGATGAGGTAAGGAAGGAGTTAGGGGGGAAGCAACTGAGGACACGGTTTCCCGTCCTACTGGGCCAACTGCTGTGCTTTGCCTTTAGTCCAGAGCAGAGACAGCTGCACGCGTGGTCCAAGAGACAGGAGGAGTCATGGTGCACCCCAACCAGGAGCCAGCCGTGATCGCGGGGCAGGGAACTATTGCCCTGGAGGTGCTAGAGCAGGTGAGGGGATGTAGCACAAGGGTACAAGAGCTGCTATAGAAATGCTCACGTTTCTTTTCTATGCAGGCACCAGAGGTGAATGCACTGGTGGTTCCTGTTGGGGGCGGAGGAATGATTGCAGGAATAGCAGTAGCCATCAAGGTAAGTAACAGCACAGCTTAGAGATGATGGTTGTATCTCCACCTTTGTCAGGGCAGCTTGTCTCTAAGAACAGAAATCCGGGTTGCCTGGGGGTGTGCACCACAGCCCCCTGCCAGCACAGCAACACAGCACAGGCACTCAGAGCAACACAGTGACTCTCCTGCTCTCTGCAGGCGTTGAGACCAGATGTGAAAGTGTTTGCTGCTGAACCCCGCAATGCAGATGACTGCTACCAGTCCAAGCTGAGAGGGGAACTGACCCCCAACCGCCACAACCCAGTCACCATTGCTGATGCAGTTAAAACCAGTATTGGAGAAAACACGTGGCCCATCATTAGGGATTTGGTCGACGATGTTCTGACCGTCTCAGAGGAAGAAATCAAGGTAAGCACTCTCTGCCTCCCCTCCCAGTAGCTGCCAGCAGGCAGCTGGCTCCACCCAAGCTCTGCTCCTCTGTTCTCATCCCTGCACTCTCTCAGGGCAAACCCTACGCACCACAGCAGCTGTGCAAACACCAACACTCTTTCCAGCTGGAAAGAGCTGGTGGAAACTCTGCTCTCCCTCCCCAAAGTGCTGCAGAGCCAGATGCACATGCAGTGCCCCCCATAGCCCTAGAGGAGCACGTACTTGCTGCTGGGATGACAGCTGCTGTTCTGTCCCAACAGCGAGCCACACGGCTGGTGTGGGAAAAGATGAAGCTGCTGATTGAGCCAACAGCGGGTGTGGGAGTTGCAGCCGTGCTCTCAGAGCAGTTCCAGGCAGTCCCCCGGGAGGTGGAGAATGTTTGCATCGTGCTGTGTGGAGGAAACGTGGACCTGAGCTCCCTGACCTGGCTCACAGACCTCCCTGGGGACGGAGACTGAGAACAGAGCAGCGTATCCAGTGGCAGGAACCTGGCTTTGAATTTGTACGATACTAAAAACCAGATGAACAAAGCCAGAGGTTTGAAAGCTTCTGTGAAGGGGTAAGGAAAGATGGAGGTGGTCTCTGCAGCCCAGAATCACTTGGTTCCAAAGCAAAGGGTGACTACAGGGAGCCAGAAAGCAAAGCACAGCTGCTTCTCCCCTTCCCAGCCATCCTGCTCTGGAACAGACCTTGAAGCAGACTGCACCCAGCCACTGCCCAGCTGCTGTTTCACCTTTCTCTGTCATCAGCAACCTCCAACAAACTCCTGTCTGATACTGCAAAATCCTCTCACCCACTGCTGTGGCAGAGCAAGAAGACCAAAGTCCCAGCAAGCCATAGGGCTCACAGAACAGCAGGGTGCTGACAGATTCCCATTTGGCCTCTACAGCTGGCCGCCACCACCAAGACTTAGAGACTTAAATATTTTTTGAAAAACATTTCCATTAAAATAAATTAATCTATCCTAAGCACCAACTGTTGAGACAGCTGCCCCAGTACAAACCCTGGGCACTGATATGTCCAGGACATCAGTGTGTACGGTGTGCTTAGGCTGAGAAAGCAGCCGGAGAGGCACAAACTGCATTAGCACTGTGCCTGGAGGCTTATTCCATTTCCACCTCTTGCCCTGGCAGTGCACTCTCACTCCTCACCCACGGCACTGGCTCTGGGACATAGGGGTCATAAGTCCATTTAGGATAAACACGCTTGTAGAGGTTCAGCAGCACAGTGTCCTGGGACTTCAGCTGTCCATCAAAGTGGCACTTCATGTGACCATGGGTCCCTAGGGAAAGAGCGGAAGAGGCCATTAGCTGTCACTCCTCCCCAGGAAAACCACATCCTGCTCATCATAAGAGACAAACACAGAACCAAACCTACCTAATGGCTCTTTTATATGCCCTCTACGACCCCATTTTGTCCTTAGCTCCACTGGCTTAAACCACATCACGTCCTCTAGAGAGCAAAACACAAATGGCACATAAGCAACAGGCTTTGCCACAGAAACACAAGGCACAGTTGTTCTGCTTCCACATCCCCTCTTCCCACTGCATACACAGGCCATACCTCTGTTAAAGAACATGTACCGCACCACAGCCGCCTTGGTGAAGATCTTGAAAGGATGACCACTGAGCACGAGCCGCTTGATGATGATTCTGTCCGGGTCCACAGCCAGCAGAGAACCCGTGGCAATGAGGTCGTGCATTCCTGCAAGACAGATTAATTAACACACCAGGGTAGCGTGACCAAATGCAACTCCATTACCACCTCCCTCACCACAACCCCCTTCACCACATCGGTCAAGGCCCAGAGCAGCCCCCCAGCAGGAAGAAAGGTGCCAGTGGTAACAGAGAAGGAAAGCAGTTAATTTTCTCAAGCAGCATGTATTTTTCTTTTTTTTCCAAGTCACACTTTATGAATAGATGCACTCTTGGTAAAAGTATAAGAAAAGCCTGCTAACATATATTTCTTAACACACTCTCAGCACTAATCCAACTTACCGTTACTTCTCTGTTTAAAAACAAGCACTGAGACAGGTGGGAAAGTGATGGGAGCGTAAACAGTCACCACCAGGGCAGAATCCGGGCGCAGGAAACGCTCCAGCTTGTGCTTATCAGCTAGGATAGAACAGCAGTGACCAAGTTCAGTCCAGCAAAAGTCCTCAGAGCTCTGAGAAACCCCACTGAACTCCTTCTTTCCTAGCAAAGGGGCTCTGTGCTGAAAGATAGCAGGCTACACACAGCACTTCCCTGCTGGCATAGGGTGTCTGGGAATTAACATGATCCTCTGAGCTGCCAGCTCACTGCATGGAACTTGCCATTGCCTTGCCAGAACCAGAAAACCATGCTGCCCAAGCCCTCCTGCTCCCCACTGTTTAGTGCCTCTCCTGGAAGCCTCAGCGCCCTGGTGCATGTCTTCAGAAGAATCCTTCAGCCAGGTTCAGACGTTGTGGCTAAGACATCACAGGCTTCCTGCCCTAGAAACCCTGGCCCCACTTCCTGCCATACCTGTTCTCTCCCCACCAGTCCCCTCACAAACCTGATGTGTGCTGGGAGAACAAAGGGGAAGCTCGGAAGCGCCTGAACCCACAGTGGAAGATCAGCTCCTCCTTTGCCCTCACTGGATCACTGTTGCTTGGATGCCGCCGCACCAGGAAATTCAACACAGACATCTGCAGGATGGACATTGCTGTGAGAAGCTGACAGCAGGGCTGGCAAATAACATCAAGAGCAGAAAGCAAACATTGCAACAAGGACAAATTCCCAGATGGCTGCTGGTCATCAGTGCAAACCAGCCAGATACTCCAGTCTGAAAACCTCTGGAAGCTTCAGGCTGCTCTGACCACAGGAAGATCTGGTTTCAAAGTGCAAGCAGTGCGTGGAAATCTTAGCCCAAACCTCTCCAACCCATCAGGGGAATCACATGAAGAGCTGCACACACACAAGGAATCAACAGAGCCCAACTTAGTCACCTTCTGTTCATGGGGAAGCAGCGAGAACAGGACTAGTGGCTTCCCTTCTTTGAAGCTGTCCATCACTGACACGGGGACGTTGCAGACATGCAGTGTAACATACCAGCCAACCTGCCAACAGAGCATCAGTTGTGAATACTTCTTGCAGTAGAAAAAAAAAGTGTCAGGACAGATACAAGGCCAGGATTAGACAGGGAACCAAGAACAGCATCCAGTGGAGTTACCGAAGCTCCTTCAGTCTCCTCTTTCTCTATTTGCCGGAAGAGGTGCTTTCTGGTTCGGGAGAAGTCCTGGAACTGGTAAATCCTTGCATAGTCCCTTGGGAGATTCTCTTTAGGGTCCCATGGAGAAGTCCTAAAGCTCTTGAGCCCTCGGTACTTCTGGAACCTTAAGGACAGACAACAGGAAAGACAAACTGATTCACAAATGCACAAGGACTAACGCTAGGACTCCGCCTTGCTCCTCTCTCCCCCAGCTCAGGACATGTTCTTTCTGCCCCAAGGAGTGGCACAATGCCTCAGCTAGCATCTCCCCTGGAAGCCTCAGAGCCTAAGGGTTCATCTTCAGAAGAGTCCTTCAGCCAGGTTCAGACATCACGGCTAGGACATCACAGGCTTCCTGCCCTACCTCAGCAAACCAGAGAGGAGAACCCCTTCCAGCTCCTCTCCCATCACCGCATGTAGTTTCTTACCGGACTCTGGCAGGCACATCACGTGGTGTGTCCACCTCATCTGGAAACATCTCATCCATCCTCTCCTGTTTGTATTTCTCCAGCATCTGTTCATCTTCCTCTGCCTTCTCATCATACTGGTCATCCCGCACGCACTCAGACATGGTCACGGTCTCACATTCCTCCTCTGCAAGCTCTTCTTCCTCCCCACTGCTTCCTCCCTCCTGACACACAGGAGTACAGGCACTCTGTTATGTCTCTGCAGCAAATCCCGTATCTATTTGCACAGTGTGATTCATAGCTACAACACAGTCCCCCATTTTGGTATCTAGCAGACCAGAAGTAGCAGGATAGATGTGAGAGGCTTAACAGTGGAAATCCAAGCAAGTCTTATCTCAGTGTTGTGTTCCTACATAGGGAAAGCTACGAGGACAGGACCAAGCTAGGCTATACAGCAGTATCCAGAAGATCAATTGCAGTATCAGCTCTTAGGAATTACCTGGGAAACTGCCTCTTCCATCATATCATCACCAAAATCATCATCATCATCTTCTTCTTCTTCCTCCTCACTGCCTTCTTCTCCCTCATCAACAATCCACGCAGCCTGGTACTTGGATGTACCTTTGGGGACCTTCACCACCCTTTTGTTCTCCTTCTGAGATGCTGTGGGAATTACACCAATGGTTAATACAGGTACAAATCTCCTTTTGCTCAGCAGCATTTACACCAGAAGAACCAAGCCAACCTCTAGAGCCGAGTCACTGTTTCCCAGAACAGAATTTGTCAAAGCCTAGAAAAGGCAGCTAAAATGTAACCCTGTTGTCAGGCAAATCAGCCAGCCCTGCTGTCAGGTGAGGGTAACCAGGAACAGAAGTCACAAAAAATCCCTTGGTTCCCAGTAGCTTGTTTCTCCACAGCCACCTTCAGCTATCCCACCAGCAGGTGGCTTCTGACAGCCTTTGTAACAGGGACAAGGAAAAGGTACAGAAATACTGCTGCTATTCACCCTCTGCATCTTGCAGTTCTTCTTCAGTTGGCCACGTCTGCTCCCCTTCCATAGGATCAGGAACCACTTCTGACTGTAAAGACTCCTGTTTGCTTGTATCTGCCTTCATCAGGATTTTAACATCTTCTTCCATCTCATCAGGACCATTTGCAGAGTCTTCCTGAAGAGCAAAAGCAGAGTCCCCAGCTGTAAAGCTATCCATCTGAAGCTAATAACCAGTTTAAAGCCAAGGACAGCTCCTCCCACAGCCCTTGCTACCAGAAAATATCCAAGAAACAGCACAAACTCCCTCCAGTGTCAACGTCAGTTATGCTGTAAGGGAGCCACAGCTCACTGGCAGGAAACGAACCTACTGCCTCTTCTGATAAAACTCCCTTTTTCCCCCACCCTTTACCACCCATAACCAAACATACTTTCTGAATGAAAGTGTAGAAACACTGTTTTAACGGGCACAGCAAAGCCATGATGTCCCACAAACCTGCATATCCATGTCCTGACTCTTCTTCTGTCCTTTAACCACTCTGGGATTCAAAGAGAGAGGGTCGGGGGGGGCATCCACCTGGCTCATCTGGAAGTCTCCATGCCCCACAATATGCACCAAGCTGTTCACATTGAGGGTCCGTCCTCGGACAAAACCAGACACCTTCAAGGTCCCAATCTGGTCACACTCCTGACTGGGCACAAACTCAGCAGCATAGGCAAGCAGGTGAGCCCGCCTGTCCCGAAAAGCAAGATGCCGCTGCTTCTGGGTAGCAAGGTGCCTCAGCAGCACCGAGGACTCCTGCTCTGTGTTTAGGGGAAAGAGCTTGACCTCTGGAAACCACTTCTCAATAGCTTTGGTGAGTTTCTTCTTGGCATCTATCCGCTTCTTTGGTGGCACATCAGTGCCCCCTGGGACAGCAAGAACTACAAAGGACGTAGAACAGAGTTCCTCATCAGAGCACAAACCTCCTTATACCCCTTTCACAAAGCATTAATGCTAACTTTGATGCCTGCAGCTCAAATAACCAAAAAAAAAACGTCTGACAACACAAGTTACAAAGGCGGTTTCACCCATTAAAAAAAAAAAGACAGATTTTCTATCTTCAGATAAAAGATTTTAAGACTAAATTGACTATGGAAATAAGGGTCTGGGAATTTAACTCAGCAAGAAACCAACTCACTCCTTTTGCTCTGCACAACTGGACAGCCATTGCAATACTAATAACCACCATACATCTGAGACTTAAACCTAGAGCTCCAGCATTGCCCTACCAGGAGAGTAAGACAATAAGACAGCATTTACCTGACCAGCTCTCAGAAACAGAACAGCCAGAAGGCCTGTGATTACTTACTAACATACAGAGCTTCTACTTATTGCAACAGTAAGCCCCCCCTCAGTCACCCCACTCACCCTGTACCCCAGTAGAAGCTCTGAATTTTCATCTCACCGTAACTGGGCAGCCCCTGGGCAAAAAGGCAAGAGAGACAATGCTCCCCTGTGCTGTCCCAGCCATCCACAGGATCCAAGACAAAAAGCAGGGAGTCGGCAACTTTTGCTAGGTCCATGACGGCATGCAGATCCCCTGCATACAAGACACCTCAATTACTGGGGCTGCTGGGGGTACAGAACTGAGACCCACACGAACTTCCTCACCTGCCTGCGCTGTCACAAACCGCCAGCGCTGCTTGAGCCGGGGACAAAGGATGGCAAAGCTGCCGGCTTTTCCCTCATCCAAGTGGACAACAACCGAATCTTGGCTCTGCAGCAGGCGGAGGGCATCGTGTGCTGCAGCCCTGGCGTGCAGCGGCACCACGACCACAAGATGTGGGGGCCCATCCCTGCTGCCCAAGCTCCGCTTTTCTGCTAGCACCTATGGGCAAAGATCATGGCATGAAAATCATCCCAGATCCAGCTCCTATCTCACACCCCTGATCGAGACTGCAGCTCCACAGCTCGATCCTATAACGCTTGCTTAGCCAGCTCCTAGACCCAAAGCAGCCCGGTCCAACAAAGCTACCCCCACACCCCATCCCACCAGCCGTTCCCCACGCCAGGCCCAAAACCCCCGAGCCCTCACCGCCTCCTTGCGCTGTCTGCGGAGCTGCAGCGCCTGGTGCCGTCGATCCACCCTGTTCAGATCTCGGCGCCGACGGTGCGGCAGCGCCTTGACGGAGACTCGGCCTGCGGAGAGAGAGCGGTCAGGCGGCGATAAGGCTAACGGGAACGCGGTGGGGAGCCCTACGGGCCGCCCCGCCTCACCCCCAGCTCGGCGCTGTGCCGTCCCGCGGTGCTTCCCGCCCTTATGCGCCTTATTCTGCTGCTTCAGGGGCCCGGCCCGGTGCGCGCCGCTCGCCACCATGCTGCCTTCACGCCGCCACCTCCACTTCCGGCCATGCGTTTTGCGTCACTTCCGGCGACGTGAGGGAGCGGAGTAGGCGGCAAAGCGCA